GTCCTCGCAGCCGGGAGGGGGCCGGTGTGCCCCGTGCTGCCCCCCGCGGGCCTCGGATCCTCCTCCGAAGCCCCTTCCTCGGAGGCGGCGGGGGACACAGCGCCCGGAGCCTGCACTGCCGCCCCCTCTTCGGGAGCCTCCGGGGGCAAAGGGGGCGCCGCGGCCTTCGGCTCCTCCTCTCCGTGTTCTCTGGCCGGGACCCCCGAGGTCCTCGTTAGAGGCCACCACGTGGGTCCAGCCGAAGGGCAGTAGCCGGGGCATCCTTGGCACAGCAGCTGGCAGCAGGTGTGGGGGGGGCAGGGAGGGCACAGGAGCGGGGTGCCCGGCGGAAGCCCGCTGGTGACACACCCAGGGCCTGGCCCCAGCAGAGGGCAGCAAGAGGCCCGGGGGGGGGCGCGGGGGGGCCCGCTGGTGAAGGGCCAGCGCAGCCTCTCCACAGCCTTCTTCCAGACCGCGGGGGGCACCCACCTGGCCCGGCCGGCAGGCACCGCAGCTGTCCTGCCGTTCCAGAAATGAACCGTAATTTCTTCTTTGGATGCTGCATGACAGAAAATGGCAACGTTTTGTTACAGCGACCTCGTCTATATCATGGGTTAGGGTTCTGTCCCCCAAAGCAAACCTCAGTGCAGCCCCTCAGCTCTGCCCGCGGCGCCCTGCACACCTCCCCTGGAGCCTGCCCGGAGCACCCTCACCCGCCCCTATTTACCACCACACTCGGGTGCATCTACCTGCGCCCCCCTGTCTCAGTTTTCATGTCAAAACCAAAATGCCTCCTCAGGCAGGGGAAGGAAGGAGGAACCTCCTTCTGTCAGTCTCTGAATGACAGTGACACTGACTGGTGGGCCCTGTGGAAGGGGACTGTCCCAGTCTCTGGACGACTCGTGGGGACAGGTCATGGGTACTGGTGAGACCCAGGCTAACCCCACCGCACCATAGGTTAGCCAACCAACACAGACATAGCAGCTTTAGGCTCTTTTACCCTGATGAAAAATATTTAATAGGAAAGATATTATTTGTGTGTCTGTTGCCACCTCCAGGATTAAGCTGCAAGTGAGGGGGTAAGGGGTTTTTTAGTGCCCCTAAGACCCCTTGGCAGTAGAGACACCCTTTGCTCTCTCCTCCGGCCTGATCTCCAGCCTGGCTCCTTCTGCGGGCTGGCAGGTCAGAGCAGCTTCCCTTACCTCTCCGGGGGCCTCTGGCCTCCAAGCCCAAGACAGTGGCAGGGCCATACGGCTGCTGTCTGTCTGGCTCCCAGGGTGCCAGCACCTTGTCCCCAGGTTGCAGTGAGTGTTCCATGGGTGGCGAGAACTGAATGACATCTTCTCCTAAGACCACATTCTGCTTCGGGGCTGGCAGCTCGGGGCCTGTGACAAGGGGAGCTTCAAATTCCACAAGCAGGGCCCCCTGCCTCTCTAGCTGTGGGAGGAAACCGCGCAGAATAAGACCTGGCGTTAGGAAGCACCCCGGGAGCACCGCGGTTCCCCACAGCCAGCCTAGAGCCAGGCCCAGGGGCCTCCTCACGGGGCCTTTTAGAGAGGGGCAGGGACAGGCACTGCTTAGAGGCCCTCGGGGCTGTGGCGAAGATGCTCTTCCCTCCACCTCGCCTGGCCACGGGCGACTCATTTGTCACTTCCTGCCTGTCCCTCCCAGTTCTCTCCCTTTTCCTGCTCTTCTTTTCGCTCCTCTCTCTCTTCTTGGCCTACAACCCCTGGGTCCTCTGGATCTTTCCCTGGTGCACTCCCCCTGCTCCCAGCCCTTTCGAGAGTGTTGTCCTTGTGTCCAAGGCCAACCAGCAACGGTTATTCATCCACAGGCCTGCGTGGGCAAGCAGTGGCTGTGGCACTAGGGCAGCCCCGGGCACTGCCCTCACACCGTGAGGCAAGGTTTGGCTAAGCAAATGGACCGGCATTCCAGAGAGGGCAGGGGAAGCACTAAGCTCTTTAGAGAACTCAGTATGAGTTTGAAAAGAAATCAAGTCTGGTTAACGAATCACTAAACAGAGCCTATGTTTGAACAAAACTCTGCTAATATTTCATTTAAATTCACATATTAGTTACTTGAAAATGACAAAATGACTGGAAAGTTTATAATTAACATATTTTTAGGATTCACACTAGTCTTTCCTCCATGGATCCACATTCCCAAAGTCTGACTCTAAAAAGAAGAGAAAAATCCCGCAGCAAGCGGCCACTGAAGTGAAAGCCTCGCCTGGCTCCCGAGTGGGGGAACCGTGCTTCGGGGGCAAGGTGTGCACGCGGGCAGAGGCGAACGGGCGGGCAGGCACACGGCACCCGTGCTTCGGTCCCCTTCCCTCAGGCTGACGCCCAGAATTCCACACGTGGAATCCCCTGAACAAAGGACTTTCACAAGAAATTTCTGTGTGGGTAAAGCATTCCGTTTGTGCTCCTTTCTTACACAGGCCTAGCAAACGGACACCTTCCCTGACATCACATTTTCACTTGTACGGCCTGTCCTGGGGAGGCCTGTGCTTAGCCGGGAAACTGAACCACTGGGCACGCACCACCGGGGAAGGTCGGGCATGTCAGGGCCACCCAGAGTGCAGGGAGACGTGGGGAGTTCGGGACTTGCCTCTGGAGCAGTCTTTATCTGAGCCCGGTAATAAAAGCCATCTGGTCCCCTTCTTGCCAGGACCCACGCGTCACCCGCATCTCCCACTCTTCCCAGACAGCTAGGCCGCTGCCATGCTGGGTCAGCAATGGGGGGACACGGTTGATAAGATGCACATCTTGGAAAAAGCAAATGGAATTAGGGAGTAGAGAAGACCAGGCCCTGAAAACATTAAGAAACCCATTCCACAGACAGATCTGAGCAGCACCGTGGCGAGTGTATGACATGCAGGCTACGTGGAGCTGAAATCCACGTAAAAAGGGCCGATCTAGGACTTCCAGTGAGATAACCTGTGGGATGGGGCAGAAGCAGAGGATAGTGAGGACTGGGAATTGTTTCAAGGTAATCGAAATGTGATTAACCTTGATATTAATTAATTAATGCTGGTTCTGAGATTAGATACAGACCAGAAAAGAGTAGCATGAAGGTGAATCCTAGTGGGCATGTTGGGTTCCAGGATGGGGCGCGGGGGCTTGGACAGCAACGCCAAGGGAGCAAATGTGTAAGGGTGCCGGGTGCTGTGGGTCAGAAGCAAGGAGCAGGGGCTTGAGCGGGGGAAGCACAGAGGAGCTGAACGAGGGGCTGTGGGGACAGAGAAAAGACAGGCTAGTTCTGGGAATTTTGTGGACACAGCCGAGCGGGGGTGAAAGGGGATTGTTGAGTCAGGGTTTGGGTTTCTAAAGAAGCTGTTTACTTTTGTGGGCAAGCCTGGACACAGGGATGCTGAACTCTGGCCTTGAGTGAGATGCCCCACACAGGAGAAAAAGGGGGGCTATTAAGGGCTCAAGCTGGCATGTCCATGACCTGGGCAGACTGGATAGAGCAGCATGGACATGAATCCCCGGGGCTTACACAGCAAGTATTGCTTGTAGGCTGAGGTGCCTCTCCCCTTCCGCAGGCAGACAGCCGACTGGGATACTATTTAGGAGAAGCCAGGATAACTGGGGGCACCTGGGGAGGGATCTGGAGACCTCACCTTAGCTGTTGGCTGCAGAAACCCTCATTTCTCACACAGTGCCAGAGCAAGTCCCAGAAATGGTCCAGAAACTTTGTAACTGGAGGTGCCTGTCTTCTCTTTCACATGCCAACTCTGATACCTGCCACTCCGCTACAAGGTGGGACAAAAGCCAGGCCAGCCCTCGAGGTCGCTGGGAGTGCAGTTTAGATTGGGGTCATGTAAAGCCTTAAGCAAACCATACCGAGCCCTTTCGGCCTTCCCAGGAAGCAAGCTCTCCCCCGTGGTGCACTATAGAGCCACAGAACAGAGAAGGGGAAGGAAGGCGCAGCCACTTCCTCCCGGGGGCAGAGACCGGTACCTGGTGAGAGGGTTGTGCCAGGTGAGCCAGGGTGCTTGGAGGGCAAAGGGGCAGGCGAAGGAGAGGTGCCAGGGAGGAGTGGTGTGGGCCCAGGCGGGGACCTCCAGGGCTGTGGCCACACTGCAGTACTTGGGCAAAGGGTTTCCGGGTTCTGCAGAGGGTTCCATGGCCTTCGGAGACACCACCTGACAGCAAGCACCTCCGTCACCCGTTATCTGAGTTGCAGCCCACAGTTCAGCAGAGGGCACCGGGCTGGGTAGGGCCCCGCTCTGCAGACAGTGGCCTCTCCGGGGCCCCACTCGCTCCCACAGACGCTCAGGGAGTCCTCGGGAACCTCAGTTCAGGAAAGAGTGGGAAGAGCAAGTGCTGTGATTTGAGAGAAACCAGCTTTAAATCCTTCCCAGCCTGCGGGCCGCGTGCTCACTTCACCTGGTGCTTCCGTCACCCTCGGGAGAGTCCATGGGGAGCACCTGGCACACAAGTAGCCTGTATACCCCTTAGCTTTTCCTCCTTCCTCCTCCCCATTTGTAGGGACTCCTGGGGGGTAAGACCATACTTCCCTTCACAGCCCCTCACCCTGATGACAAGCCGACCCCGAGCCCCAGCCCCAGCCCCAGGCTCCCCTCCCAACCCAGTCACCTGTAGGACTCTAGCCGCAGGCCCAGCTGAGAGCCTAGGGCCGTGGCCTCCACCCACCTGCTCAGAGGCAACAGCTGCGGGTCAGGGCCCAAGGCCACCCTCCGCTGCCCCCGCCCGCCAGAGCCCTGTTAGGGTCGCTCCTGCCCGCGTCCGCGGGGCTGCACCCAAGGGGACTTACCCACAGCCCCGGGCTCCTCCACCTCGGCCTCAGCCCCTTTTGACAGTTGGGACTCAGGCCTCAGCCCAACTGACTCCTGGTTGCCAAGCAGGTTGCCATGGGTGGGAGCCAGAAGGAACACCGTGGGCTGAGTGTACTGAGCATGTGCAGAGGGGTGGCCGGGCCTTGGGAAGCATGGGCAGGGCGAGGGGGCGAGGGGGCGGGGGCCTATTCTCCATCTTTCTCTTTGAAGAGGGGGAGAGGGAGATATTGGAGAGAAAGGTCATTGTAGCTTCAATTCCCAAAAGCTCAGGCTTCCCCACTGCCTGGAAGAGCCAGTCATGGTGGGAAGCCCTCAGGAATCCCAGGGGAGCCCTAAAAACTTAGGGTTAGTGACCTGCCTCCACCCTGAGCAAGCAGGAGGCTGGGTGGGGGGAGCCGCTGGCTGGACTAGGGACTCGAACATAGAATTTGTCCATAGTTTAAAACAAAATAAACAAACGTGTGGACATGTTTGTAACAGACAGGACTCTGCTGAGCAGAGGTACGGTGACCAGTCGGGGTGGTGGGAGTGGACAGTGGGGACCAGAGGAACAGAAGTCTAGCTTCTGCTCGCATTTGAACATCTATGGGAAAGGCTGGTATTTTGAGGCATCTGACAGTCACCGTGCACCTGTTGTGTGCCTGGCAGTGTTCAGTGGAGAAAAACCCCAACAGCAGGTAGGGACATCTGTGGGCGTCTCTCCCACATTACTATCCCTGGTACCACCAGTTCCTGTTTCTATTTGAGGACCCATGTGGTTAGGAGAGGCTGAAGGTGCCCCAGCTCCACAGGTGGAACATGTCAATCTTCACAGTCCATCCCGCTGGCCGCAGAGACTGGTCAGGCACGGACATGTCCCGGGGCTCTCTGGACTTGTTGGGAACCCTGGGTTAGAGACTTTCTCTTTCCTTCTGTATGTGATAAGGAAGTGTGTGGTTCTGGGAGCCTCTGGCAGCCTTTTGGGGACGCTGAAACTCTTCCCAGAGGAAGACACAGAGGTCAGGCCTAAAGAAGACAGGTTCTTGGGGACAGTGTTGAGCCGGCCTGAAGGCAGCCCTGCTAGATGCTTCAGTTACGCGAGCTCTTATTGATTATGCCAATTGGGATTGGATTTTCTCTTCCTTACCACGAAAAGCATCTTACCCGATGACCGCTCTCACAGAGCACAACTATGGTCAGAATGACTGCCGTCCAGGACTCCATGCCTAAAGGCTGAGTTTTTTGCTCCACAAGGTTAGAGCCCAAGAAAAACCAGTGAAGTCTCTGGCAGTGAGAGGAGGCTTCCTGAATAAGACAGGTAGGACTTCAGTAGTGCAGGGAAAAAGGAGACTGTTCCAGTTCAGGTCGGAAGCAAGAGCTAGGAAAGAAGGGTGCATCCGCAAGGCTTTCCTTTTTGGGGGGAAACGGGTTTCATGGGAAAATCAAGGTGGGGATATTTGGGAAGGGGCCAGATTGGTGGGAGCTCTGAAGACCAAGCGGATAAACGTAAACAACGTGGCAGTCAGGAGGTGGTCGCCGTGGGGTTTGAGCAACAGGGTGGCATGAAGGGCTTTAAGAAAGGACGTCAGAGTGAGGATGGAGCCGGATGAGAACAGAGCCTGGGAGGCCGGGGAGGAGACTAACAGTGACCCAGGCATGTGGCAGCATCGGAATAGGAACCCCAAATGTTTACTGACCACACCTACCTGCCCTGAGGCTCTTTGCTGGGTGCTAATCGCACAGGAGGAACAACACTGGTCCCTGTCCTCGGGGAGCTTGCAGTGTACTGAAGACGAGGGAGAGGTGTGCGGCCCGGTGTTTAGAGGGAGCAGGGCAGAAACGGCCCAGAAATGTGTATACGAAACAGGAGCAAGGAACAGCTGGCGAGGGGAGACTTCGCAGAGAAATGACAGTGGAGATGAGTGTGACAGTGTGTTGGTGACAGATGGGACCCGGGAATTGGGGGAGAAGGAAGAGCTGAACCTAGTCATGGGAAGAGAAATAGATATTTTGAAGGCAGCCCCCAGGACTGTCCTTGCCAGGGGTGAAGGCCGCTGCTCGTTTTCTGGTTTAGAGAACCTGGAGGTTGGCGATGCTATGGCCAAAACGAGGGAGGGGAAATTAATCACAATAATAAAGGTGATGAATACTTATTATGTGCCAGGCACTGTTAACCTGTTAATCTTCATAATCAACGAACGGGTGGTTGCCATTCTTATTTTTCTCATTCTGCGGATGAAGAGCTGAGACATGGAGAGGAAGCCGCAGGGCCACAGTTTGAGCGGAGGCAGGTTGATCCCAGAGCCTGTCCTCCTGACCTCTACGCTGCGCTGCCCAAGGAAGTCTTCTGTATGCAGCACAAAGGTGACTCGGAATCGTCTCGAATGACAACAGGTTTCGTTAACTACTTTTGCGGCAGCTCTGAGAGGCTTTCCCATGGTGACACGGGTAAGGTACAGATTTATCGTCAGCCCCAAATAAAAAACACCAAACTTTGACCGATCGAGGGAGGTTCGTTGTGTTTGCCGAGCGTGAGGGCCTGCAGCGCGCACAGGCGCTCGGCAATCATGCGTCACGCAGTGCTCCTGAGTTTCTCACGGCTGAGACCCGGTGAGGGGTGAGACGAGCAAGGTGAGAGGCAGAGAGGATCCTGGGACTCCTGCTCCCCTAAAGTTCTAGAAAGAAATCACCAAAGCTTAAGAAGCACCTTCGCATTCTACAGAAGATAATGTTTGGGTCATCTGGGAGGCGGGTAAGAAATATCCAGCATAGGTTAGCATCTGAGCTATTCTCTGCCCACGCAGAGATTACATTTAGGAGAAATGTTGCATGATGCTATGAAACCCCTTTTTGTGATTTTATTTGTTTCCATTTGGAACTACTGAGTCAAATGATTCTAAAAATGGGGTCGGTGTGGTGGCTGGCGGCTGCTATTATGGTGGAAGCTTTCCCGGGGTTATTTTTAGTCTCGGCCTTATCGGGGTGCAGAAGAGACTGCAGGTAATGAATGTACTTGATTGCAGCTCTGAGGGTTTCCACCTTGCTGAGGCGCTTCTCCAAGTACTCCTCCGGCAGGTGATGTCGGAGCCGGGCATAGCCTTCGTTGACACACTTCACCCGCTGCCTTTCCCGTTCATTCCTTTTCCGGATAAAGGAGGGCCCGTAGGAGTATTCGCACCTCCTGTAATTTGGATAAGGCATTGGATAAGGCATTGGGAAGGGCTCACTGTAATTTTCCATGATCAGTGAATCACTGGAAAAGGGCAGCGATGGCAGGTCTTCAGAGTAAGGTGATGGTGCCGGGGCCTCAGGGTACAAGTGGAAAGTGACCGCGGGGTCCAGATAGAAGGACCTAGTCAGGGGCAAGTGGGCAGAATCAGAGAAGACAGGCAGCTTTTCTGGCAGATCAGAGTAGCTTCTGTTGTGCATCATTTCCTCGTTAGCCTGGAAACATACCAAGTTTATTAATTTGGCCAAATCAAAGGAAAGCAGATATCATTGATTTTCTCAGATATCAATGTTTTAAAAACTTTTCTGCTCTGATTTATAGTTTCTGAGCTCATTCTGAAAACTAGCTGGGGTTACAATATTCTGTGGATAGTAAAAGAGAGGACTTTTGATGATGCACAGAAACAGCATTAAATAACATCGACTCACCTTGTGAGAAAGTTATTGCCTTTCAACTCTCTTCCAGTCCCAGTGATGACACAGATGTAGCTTTAGTCTGGTGAGAGTGTGTCTCTACACTACTAGGATGCTTTCTGAGCCTCCTCGGATGGAAGCCTTCAACAAGCAGTACTATCTAGCTAGAATTAAATGTTTTACTCTTAATTTCTACTTATTGTGAATTATATTGGTTTCACATTTATAGTATGATGCAAAGTTTATTTTAAAAATAAAATCTACTTGAGTAAAAAATATGATTTGAAAAAAAATAGTAAATACCAAGACAGGTGGAACACAAATAATGAAGACTGTGAAGTGTATGCATATCACCGAAGTTTAGAAAACACTGAAATACCACAATATTTAAATACACGTTGGAGAAATTACAAACTAGTTAATGATCATGTAACCTCACAGCACAGCCTTCCTAAATAATACCTGATATTCCAGAGGCAAATCTTTAGATAAAAATAAGAAAGGAATCATTTACTCTTAAAAATTCACTGTAATGCCCTGGCCGGCTGGCTCAGTTGGCTGGAGCATCGTTTCCTGCACCGAAAGGTTGGAGGTTCCATTCCCTGTCAGGGCGCATGCCTAGGTTTTGGGTTTGATCTCTGGTTGGGGTGCATACAGGAGCCAATTGATGGATGTTTCTCTCACATCAATGTTTCTCTCGCTTTCCCCCCTCCTTTCTCTCCCTTCCTCTCTCTCTAAAATCAATAAAAACATACCTCAAGTGAGGATTTAAAAAAATAAAATAATAAATAAAAATTCACTATAAGAGTCCTTTAAATGAAAAACTCTCCTAACACATTTTAAACAGTCAATTTACATATTTTTACTTACAGAGAACTTTAGGAATATTGAGTGAGGTGCATCTGTATTTAAGTTTTGTTTTTTAATGGAACAGAGGAAAAAGTATTATACCCCAGGAGGTCCCACACCAACACATTCCTCTATCTGAGTAGGTTTGCATCCATCTCATTTATTAAACCACCATTACCTTCTGCCTTTAACTGTAACAATGTAACCACAATAGATTTTACAGGGACATTGCAGTTTAACCAGTTAACTGGGAGCTAGGGTAATGTTGGAGGGAAAGAGCATTTGTCTTTCAGTTGTAACAGCCTCAAGTTTCAATCTTGGCTTTGCCCTTTCCTAGCTGTGTGCCCTTAGACAAGTTCCTAATCTCCCTGAGCTTCAGCCTTTTCCTATGGCCAACTGAGATCAACTCTCCTGCAGAGCGATTGTGAGGATTAAATGAAAAAACATATAATGTACTAGGTGTCGGTTATTTTCCTTTTTTCTTTATAAACAGATGAATGCGTCTGCAGCGCCCCTTTCTAAATTGCACCTTACAGAAAAACTGGCTTATTTCCCCCCCAACACTGGGAAATCAAACATTGATATATCCAAAGCATATTTGTGGAGAGAGGAAAAGCACACCTAAAATGGAAAAGGAAAAGCAACCTGAAATTAACTGTGGGCCTCCAGAAAAGGAGGAAATACAGCTTTCTGTTAATTTCTCAGGGGCGTGTTTTCAATATCTTTAGGAGCAGTTGTTCTCTATGCTTGGCATAAGTAAAGAAAAAGAGCCCCCCCCCCAAAAAAAAACCCCCAAACCCCAGCCCTAATGCTTACTGGCAGGATTAGATAACATTGTCGCTTGTTTCTCTACCTGAGCAGAGCAAAATCTCCACAGGCTGCACTGTGATGGGTGGAGCAGCCTCTAAGCACAGGCATTCAAGTGCAACAAAGTGTCTTCCGATCCCTGTGAAAAGCCTGTCCTTCCTGTCTGGGTGGCTGCTGAAAGACGAATGACTATGGAAACAGAAAGGGCAAAGGGCGGCAGGGATGGGGGACGAGAGGACGGGCGGGGAGGGTTATAAGAAGTCATGGTGAAACAGGCTGG